GGTGCGAGTGAGTGAGTAAGTGTGTGAGGAGTGAGTGAGTGTTGAGTGAGCTGAGTGTGTGATTGACTGTGAGTGACTGAGTGTGTGTGTGAGTGTAAGTGTGTGAGTGTAAGTGTGTCACTGTGTGTGAGTGTAAGTGTGTGTATGAGTAAGTATGTGTGTGTACTGTGTGTACAGGGCACATGTGGAGGAGTCTGTAGAGAAACGCGACTGTCTGAGGAAGAGGGCCCTAGAGACGAGGTGAGAGCCACTCTGTGGGTGGGGTGGTGAGGGTGGGTGGGTGAGGGTGGGTGGGTTAGGGTGGGTGGGTTAGGGTGGGTGGGTTAGGGTGGGTGGGTGAGGGTGGGTGGGTTAGGGTGGGTGAGGGTGGTGAGTTAGGGTGGTGAGTTAGGGTGGGTGGTGAGGGTGGGTGGGTGAGGGTGGGTGGGTGGGTGAGGGTGGGTGAGGGTGGTGAGTTAGGGTGGGTGGGTGAGGGTGGGTGGTGGGAGAGGGTGGTGAGTTAGGGTGGTGAGTTAGGGTGGTGAGTTAGGTGGTGAGTTAGGGTGGTGAGTTAGGGTGGGGTTGGGTGGGTGAGGGTGGGTGGGTGGGTGAGGGTGGGTGGGTTAGGGTGGGTGGGTTAGGGTGGGTGGGTGAGGGTGGGTGGGTTAGGATGGGTGGGTTAGGGTGGGTGGGTTAGGGTGGGTGGGTGAGGGTGGGTGGGTTAGGGTGGGTGGGTTAGGGTGGGTGGGTGGGTGAGGGTGGGTGGGTGAGTTAGGGTGGGTGGGTGAGGGTGGGTGAGTTAGGGTGGGTGGGTGAGGGTGGGTGGGTGAGTTAGGGTGGGTGGGTGAGGGTGGGTGAGTTAGGGTGGGTGGGTGAGGGTGGGTGAGGGTGGGTGGGTGAGCGTGGGTGGGTGAGTTAGGGTGGGTGGGTGGGTGAGGGTGGGTGGGTGAGTTAGGGTGGGTGGGTGAGGGTGGGTGAGTTAGGGTGGGTGGGTGAGGGTGGGTGGGTGAGCGTGGGTGGGTGAGTTAGGGTGGGTGGGTGGGTGAGGGTGGGTGGGTGAGTTAGGGTGGGTGGGTGAGAGTGGGTGAGTTAGGGTGGGTGGGTGGGTGAGGGTGGGTGGGTGAGTTAGGGTGGGTGGGTGAGAGTGGGTGAGTTAGGGTGGGTGGGTTAGGGTGGGTGAGGGTGGGTGAGTTAGGGTGGGTGGGTGAGGGTGGGTGAGTTAGGGTGGGTGGGTTAGTGGCGAACGGCGGTTGTTGTTGTGTGTGACTGATTGAGTGACTGTGTGTGACAGTGAGTGACTGAGTGAATGTGTGTGATTGACTGTGAGTGACTGAGTGTGTGAGTGCGTGAGTGTGAGTGAGTGAGTGAGTGCGTGAGTGCGTGAGTGAGTGTGTGATTGACTGTGAGTGACTGTGTGAGTGAGTGTGTGAGTGACTGTGTGAGTGCGTGAGTGTGCGAGTGAGTGAGTGAGTGTGTGAGTGAGTGAGTGTGTGATTGACTGTGAGTGACTGAGTGTGTGTGTGAGTGAGTGTGTGATTGACTGTGAGTGACTGAGTGTGTGTGTGAGTGTGTGAGTGCCTGTGTGTGTGAGTGCGTGAGTGTGTGAGTGAGTGAGTGTGTGAGTTTAAGTGTGACTGAGTGTGAGACTGAGTAAGTGTGTGTGTGAGTGTAAGTGTGTGAGTGTAAGTGTGTCACTGTGTGTGTGATTGAGTGTAAGTGTGTGTGTGTACTTTGTGTACAGGGCACATGTGGAGGAGTCTGTAGAGAAACGCGACGGTCTGAGCAAGAGGGCACTAGAGACGAGGTGAGAGCCACTCTGTGGGTGGGTGGGTGGGTGAGGGTGGGTGGGTTAGGGTGGGTGGGTGGGTTAGGGTGGGTGGGTGAGGGTGGGTGGGTGGGTTAGGGTGGGTGGGTTAGGGTGGGTGGGTGAGGGTGGGTGGGTTAGGGTGGGTGGGTTAGGGTGGGTGGGTGAGGGTGGGTGGGTGAGGGTGGGTGGGTTAGGGTGGGTGGGTGAGGGTGGGTGGGTGAGGGTGGGTGGGTTAGGGTGGGTGGGTTAGGGTGGGTGGGTGGGTTAGGGTGGGTGAGTTAGGGTGGGTGGGTTAGGGTGGGGGGTTAGGGTGGGTGGGTGAGGGTGGGTGGTGAGTTAGGGTGGGTGGGTGAGGGTGGATGGGTGAGTTAGGGTGGGTGGGTGAGGGTGGGTGGTTGAGGGTGGGTGGGTGGGTTAGGGTGGGTGGGTGAGGGTGGGTGGGTGGTTGAGGGTGGGTGGGTGAGGGTGGGTGGGTGGGTGGGTGAGGGTGGGTGGTTGAGGGTGGGTGGGTGGGTTAGGGTGGGTGGGTGGGTTAGGGTGGGTGGGTGGGTGTGGGTGGATGGTTGAGGGTGGGTGGATGGTTGAGGGTGGGTGGGTGAGGGTGGGTGAGTTAGGGTGGGTGGGTGGGTGGGTGAGGGTGGGTGGTTGAGGGTGGGTGGGTTAGGGTGGGTGGGTGAGGGTGGGTGGATGGTTGAGGGTGGGTGGGTGAGGGTGGGTGGGTGATTGAGGGTGGGTGGGGTTAGGGTGGGTGGGTGAGGGTGGGTGGTTGAGGGTTTGGTGGGTGGTTGAGGGTTTGGTGGGTGGTTGAGGCTTTGGTGGGTGGTTATGTTAATGTGAGAGATTAGCATGATGTTAATGTGAGAGATTAGCATGATGTTAATGTGAGAGATTAGCATGTAACTGGGCACGGAAGTGGCGATGTTAATGTGGGAGATTAGCATGATGTTAATGTGAGAGATTAGCATGATGTTAATGTGAGAGATTAGCATGTAACTGGGCACGGCAGTGGCTATGTTAATGTGAGAGATTAGCATGATGTTAATGTGAGAGATTAGCATGTAACTGGGCACGGCAGTGGCGATGTTAATGTGAGAGATTAGCATGATGTTAATGTGAGAGATTAGCATGTAACTGGGCACGGAAGTGGCGATGTTAATGTGAGAGATTAGCATGATGTTAATGTGAGAGATTAGCATGTAACTGGGCACGGAAGTGGCGATGTTAATGTGAGAGATTAGCATGATGTTAATGTGAGAGATTAGCATGTAACTGGGCACGGAAGTGGCGATGTTAATGTGGGAGATTAGCATGATGTTAATGTGAGAGATTAGCATGTAACTGGGCACGGCAGTGGCTATGTTAATGTGAGAGATTAGCATGATGTTAATGTGAGAGATTAGCATGTAACTGGGCACAGAAGTGGCTATGTTAATGTGAGAGATTAGCATGATGTTAATGTGAGAGATTAGCATGATGTTAATGTGAGATTAGCATGTAACTGGGCACGGAAGTGGCTATGTTAATGTGAGAGATTAGCATGATGTTAATGTGAGAGATTAGCATGTAACTGGGCACGGCAGTGGCTATGTTAATGTGAGAGATTTAAAGTTGCTTGAATAGCTATGCTTTGTACGATAGGCTTAACCCTCAGCTGTGTGTATGCTGTGCGCGCTGTAGGCTGTTGGAGATTCTGAACCCGAGTCCTATGAACTACGAAAAGCACGACTTCCAACTCCAGGTGGCGCAGCACAGACCCTTGATACTCATCACTCGCTGTGTTTGAATCCAGCAGTGCGTTTCCCAACTCGTAGACGCAGCCTTGGGGAACACTGGGACACACGCAGCGCCGAGACGATCACCACTCGCTGTGTTTGAATCCAGCAGTGCGTTTCCCAACTCGTAGACGCAGCCTTGGGGAACACTGGGACACACGCAGCGCCGAGACGATCACCACTCGCTGAGTACGGGTAGGGTACGGGTAGGGTACGGGTAGGGTGGGTAGGGTAGGGTAGGGTACGGGTAGGGTACGGGTAGGGTACGGGTACGGGTAGGGTACGGGTAGGGTACGGGTAGGGTACGGGTAGGGTAGGTACGGGTCAAGTACGGGTAGGGTATGGGTGGGTACGGGTAGGGTACGGGTAGGGTACGGGTAGGGTACGGGTAGGGTACGGGTAGGGTACGGGTAGGGTACGGGTAGGGTACGGGTAGGGTACGGGTAGGGAACGGGTAGGGTAGGGTACGGGTAGGGTACGGGTAGGGTACGGGTTAGGGTACGGGTAGGGTACGGGTACGGGTAGGGTACGGGTAGGGTACGGGTACGGGTAGGGTAGGGTACGGGTAGGGTAGGGTACGGGTAGGGTAGGGTAGGGTAGGGTAGGGTACGGGTAGGGTACGGGTAGGGTAGGGTACGGGTAGGGTAGGGTAGGGTTGGGTACGGGTAGGGTACGGGTAGGGTACGGGTAGGGTACGGGTACGGGTAGGGTAGGGTAGGGTACGGGTAGGGTACGGGTAGGGTACGGGTAGGGTAGGGTAGGGTACGGGTAGGGTCGGGTACGGGTAGGGTATGGGTACCCGTTTGCGACCCTGGTGCGGCCGGGTACGGGTAAGGAATCAAAACCCGTTTTCGACCTCTGGTGGTTACCGGCCACAACAACTCCCCCCACCCACCCACCCACCCACCCGCCCACCCACCCACCCACCCACCCACCCACCCACCCACCCGCCCCCCTTCGTAGGTGTGACAGCACTTGCCCCTCACCCCCCGCACACAAAGACAAAGATCCCCCGTGTAGCCTGTAACAGACTGTTGGGGCAAGTGCTGTTAGCGAGCACCTATGAAGGCCGGAACGGTACACGAGGGGGTGGGTGGCCAGCACCACGCCCGACCGCCTTTGTCTCCCTAGTGGCGATGCTTACACACCGCACCAGGTACTCATTTGAGGCTGAGTCGACCTAGGGGAGGCCCAGGACCGGTTCAGATAATCGTCACTGTTGGTGTTGGCCGTGAGCGGGAATCGAACTCGTGTCGCCGGGTTCGTAGCGCAGCGCGCTAACCGCTACACTACCGCTCCCCACACGCACACACAGACAGTCATCTGTGTGTGTGTGGGGGGTGTTGGTTGGTGTGTATCTTTGTGTG